AGTGATGGTGCAGTAATCAACTCACCCAAACCCCCAAAGAAGCAAAGTGCTCGGCAATCTAGTAACCTAAAAAATAAAGAAAATTCTGGAAATAATTTACATTATGGTAGTGAAGGCAATATTAACTCTCCAGAAAGCAATGCTGAAAAACAGAATATACTGTCTGGTAGTTCAAAGGCTAGGGTTGCTAAATATAAGCAACGAAAAGCACAGGTTTTTAAACATGACATTGAGTCGAGTGATGAAGAACCTGTGAGAAATCAGTCAAAGCCAAAAGCAAAACCAAAAATAACAGACTTTCAAAAGTGGCAGATGGAACAAGATGCAGCTAGGGAGAGAAGGCTGGCAGCTCACCAACAACAACAACATGCTCAGAATGATGTATATGATGGTACTTTTGACAGAGATGATGGTGAGGAGGGTGGTGATAGCAATGATGAGGACAGGGAAGAAGCTGCCAGAGAAGAAGAAGAGCAGGAAGAAAGACGCCAGGAACAATTAAAGAAACAACAAGAAGAAAAAGAGCTTTTGAGACTTTTAGCAAAACGGCAAGAGGAGTTGAAGCAATTACAGCAGGAGAGGCTAAGAGCAGAAGAAGAGGTAATTTTGTTGATTTTTCTTTTCGTTACAGAAAATTAAAAAAAAACGTGGATTTCTTTTTTTTGAACAATATAAGAATTGTCTTTTTTTGAAATTCATAGAAACTGAATATAAATGCATTTGACCAAAAGAGATGCATATCTATTGTGATTAATGAAATGAGGGGTAAGTTAAGTTTCTGAAATGTTGATAGCAGAGAGTGAGAAAAAATGTGGACTGAACATGTGAAAAGAATTTATCATTATATCTGCAAAAAGAAAATATGCATGAACTTATTTCTGCAGATATACTAGTACATATTTTGTACTGTAATTGACAAGACAAATTCAGGTTATTGCGGTAGGTGTGCATGATTGTGTTGTAAATTGAAATTTACTTGGTTCCAGTGATATTCTGACATTTATTAGAATGGCACTTTTTTATGATTACGCCTTGGAAAGGCTAATCTGATAAGACAACAAAGTGGAAGTCTGGGTTGCACTGATACTGCATTATAAAGAAGTGCTAATGAACTTTTCCATACAAGTTTAATTGCATCTATTAGTGACTCAACTCTGAGCACTTGTCATGCATGAGGTATTGCCAAACTGATAGAATTTCCAGTCACTTGAATTTTGTTTCCCTTCACAACCTCTAATTTCATGAGCCAGCATCTTATTATTGCAGATAAAAATGTAGTAACCAATAACATGATACAGTGTTAGCCTTGTTGATGTTACTACACTTTTGTCTATTGGATGCTTAATTCATAAGAAAAGTGACAGTATTTGATTTATTTCAATTTCATTTGTCTTTGAAATATAATCGTGAAAGTACAGATCCTATTATCAAAGAAACATTGCATTAAATATTAATTGATACATAGTATTTTGATCCATTTCTGGATGTATGAGTCAGCAAAATGTAAGATAATATGTTGTTGGTTAGAAAAAGGATGAATTAACTCCAGAATTAAGAAACTGACCAATTAAGATAAAAATGAGTCACTTTTTTCTTTTCATTTTTGTCAGTTTTTTTTACATATATTTGCAAGACATGCTTATTTTCAAATGATTTAGGGCTCATTCCCAATGAAATTATGATTCTATGTGATCCATCCAGCTCTGTGGGGACTTTTACTGAATGCAATCAGATCAGTAGATTAACATGCCTCTTCCTTGAGTAGAATACAAGTACGTTGGAAACAAGAGGAGGCGTGTTAATCTGTTAACCTGATTGCATTCAGCGAGAGTCCCTGTGGAGTTGGACTGATATTTGTAAAATGATAGTTTCATTGGGAATGAGCCCTAAGATAAAGGCTTTATTTACAGGAGAAGAAACAGGCTAAAAAGGAAGCGGCAGAAAAGGAGCGTAAAAGACGTCTTCAACAAGCAGCCGATGAGCAGAGGAAAAGAGAAGAGGAGCAGAGAGCATTGAAAGAAGAACAAAGAGGCAGAGAAGAAGGAGAAGAAGAAGGAGAAAGTTATGGTGCTTCTACTAGTAATGTTTCTCATTTTAATGGTCATTCGGGTCCAGTCCATGAAAAACCCATCACACCAAAAGATGTCTTCCCAAAGAAGCCAAGCAGAGTCAAGCCTCATCCACCAAGCCGGCCCCCAGCTCAGCGAACTAGACACCAGCCTACACCAGACCCTGAACCCGAGACTGAGATGGATCGCCAGAGGTCGCCACCAGCTGCTTTTTATGAAGAAGCTGCAGCCAGTGCTGTTACAGCTGATGATGTTGATATAGAATTTGCAGAATGCTCAATATGTGGCAGAAAATTTGCCTCTGATCGTCTTGACAAACACATGAAAGTTTGTGCTAAAAATGCAAGTAAAAAACGCAAAGTATTTGATCCAACTACAATGCGAACTAAGGGAACAGAACAAGAAAAATATGTCAAAGCCATTGCAAAAAAACCTGAACCGGTGAGTTGAAAGCATATAGGTCACACTTTATTTTCTTTTACCAAAACAAATTTGTCTTACTATACTTCTCCCCACCTCCTGCATCTAAGTGCATGCACACTCGCACGGATGCATGCATGCACACGTGAATGAGCGCAAACATACACACTGTGTCATCTAATCATATTGTTTCATTAGGTTCACACTTTCTTCTAGATTTGTGGTTCAGACTATAACCTGTTTGCCCTTAATTTGCTGGAAAAGATTATACTTCCTTATGAATAAAACTTCTTAAGTGGCCATGTGCTGAAAACAACTGATTATTTCAAGGTAACAGTGACATACTGACAGACATGGTGACAGGTGGGGTGGAAATGGGGCCTATTATTAATTAATTAAAATTAGTAAGACGTGGGTCTGTGAAAAAGCATTTGAAAAAACCTCTCTTTGTAAGAATCAAATGGTAATTGTGTTTAAGCACTGTTTATCTAAGTATTGAATCCTGTGCCACCTCAAGACGAACACACTAGCTGTAATAGCAAAACCTTTTACGTCAACACTATGGTCAAAATCCTATGATAAGCAACATATATTAGATAACAGAATACATAAGATCAGGATTAAAGCTCACACAAATCAACCCTATTGCATGTAGAGGTTATGGTGAATCACTAGCACTGAGAGTGTAATATATATTTCCTCGTGGTAACGTCTTCTACACTTGTTTGGCTTATAAATCCAAATGTTTCGATCTTCATGTTACTTCCACTTTACTGACTTCATCACTTGAGAGCATGTTGGATAATTCATGGTGACAAGTCACATGACAGCTCTCAGGTTTCATACAATAGCTGAAAACCCCCTTGACAATTGAAGCAAGACTTTTAGGATGTGGATTGATGCCCCATGCAAGCATAGCACGGATGTTGCTGGAGCCAGCTTATTGATTTCTGTCCTGCAGTAATCAAATCATAGGTCATTGCATGTCCATTTTGGATCTGCACAAGCCTAAAATTACTTCCCTATCAATTTGATAAAATGAAAATTAATATGCTGAGTACACTGCCCTATATATCCTCTTTTATTTTCTTGACTCATTTTCACCCTCCCTTCCTTCTTCCTCTCTCTTTCTCATTATTACATGTACATGTATCTCCCCTCACTTTTTTTTCTTTTCCTCTCTGTGCTCTAAAAGTATCTTCCATTTCATTTAACTTTTCCATGTCCAATTTTTCAAATTACTTATTATATTTGCTCTCCTCATCAAATCTAGCAGATGGATGGATTATAACAAATGAAGCAATACAATCAATTATAGAAGAGAAGAGGAGACTTGCTTTTTGCCTTCCAGATAACCTGGCTCAGAAATTGACTGCTTAATGTTTTAGAATTTTTTTATAGAGCATAACACCTGCAGGCATTTTTCCATTTCATCCCCAATAATGTCTGTATTTTTCTCAGCTTTGTCGATCAAATTCTAGCTAGACTACCAAAAAAAAATCCTGATGTGATATATGTAGGAAATGCTGCCAGAGAGAAGCGGCTGCCTTTTCTGGAGACAAGTAATTACAACTCTGTTCAGGTTTACTGAGAGGTTATTGAAGATGCGGCTGCCAGAAGCCCATTTTTTAAGTGTAATTGGCTCTGACAACATCTTACACTTCGTTATAGCATGACTCACATCTAGTTGTAGTCAATACTAATTTTTTCCTCCCTGCACAAATTTGTTTGGAGATTTTTTGGCCTTTGGAAGTTCTTATGAAAAATAATCATGAATTCCCAATGGCTCATCACTTTTCAAAATGAAGATGAGAACCTTTTAGCAACTTGCATGGGGAGAATGTAAATCTGTCAAGTGATCCGAAATATTTAATTTCAATTCTTGTTTATCAGGTGAGAAGAAGAAAACCTTTGCAACGTTATGTCATGAAAATAGACAAATGAATAAATCCAGGTTCTCATAATTTCACTCATACTGTCTCTCCATTACAAGATCGGGGAATGGGATTATCTTACCTTTCAGAGAAGTCTCATCTCCTCTAACCAGTGGAGATGGTTGCCATGCGTGATCAAAGTTTTGCTAAAGGAAACAAACTTCCTTAAGCAATAAGAGGTCCTCATTCCCTTCTTCATCTTAGGGATAGCATGGATGGGAATTAAGAGAATCTAATTTAATTAAGATTAATCATTTTTCTTTCTTATATAGTAAAACTCTGTTCTTTAATGCCAGTTTTTCACTGGTCAAAATCCTTCTTAACACACATTTCTTGTAAAGTCGAGGGTCAAAATACAGTGATTAAAGCTGATGTTCTGTCAAAAATAATTTCCACTCCTATCTTTGGATGGATCATTCCAGGACCAATCTCCCTTGGGGCTCTTCAGATCCTCTGAAATAATGCAACATTTAACATTTTAAAAGGAAAGTACATTTTCCCTCTTGGTTAACAGTAGATGAAATTTTCATCAGCATTTGATATATGAGCAGCATAATTATAAATGTCTTTGTTTCATTATGCAGGCAAAGAAAGCAAGCAACTGGCGTGCACAACATGAGGAGTTCATCAGGAATTTGCAATATGCTAAGAAGATGAAAGCTGTTGAAGATGCAGGTGGAAATTTAGCAGATCTTCCCCCTCCCCCACCTACAGAAAACCCTGATTATGTCCAGTGCCCACACTGCCAGAGAAAATTTAACGCAACGGCTGCAGAGAGACACATCCCCAGGTGCAAAGAACTTAAAACAAAACCAGCCAAGAAAAGGCGATAAACAAGTGTTACCTAGGTGACATCCTTTTAATGATGGGAGGTCATTCTCATAGGCACAAACAGCAAGCTGAGAGATTATGCATCCAGGCTTATCGCATATATATGTATGTTTTTTTTTTCATCAGTTATGGATCGTGACCATTTGCATGTTACATTGGTAACTACAACATAATCAGTTTGGTTTCCCGGAAAATGATAGATTTTTTATTCAAGGGGATCTACACTGCTTACAGCATGATTTTTTTATCCTTCAGAAATTTGATTGTGCTCATGAGTCCTGCCTATTACAATAGTTATGTCTTTGATGTAACCATACCTGATTTCTCACTATGAATTATTAATGAATTACACAATATTTATTTCCATTAATGATGAAAGCTGTTATTTCATTGCTGCAGTAAACTGTCTATCTACACAGAATACATGCATTTGATTGATTATAGTTAGAGTGGAGTTAGAAACTATTTCGTGGTGCTTTTTTTTCACAGGCATTTTTATTGTTCAATATCCTCAATGCATAATAAAAAGAAAAAAATAAGCATATTAAAAAAAAGAAGAATGAAAGTTAAGCAGATTTTAGATTTTTAAAATTTTGTTGTTTTGTGACATTAAACTTAAAGATTCTCACTACAGTTTTCAGGACCAACTTGGGACCATTGTTGTTAATGTTTTAATGGAAAAGTTAAGTTTACTTTTAATTTCACTAAAGCACTTTGCCAGTGGTATATTTTTGACCATATCCAAGTTATGTCTGGACTAGCATTACAAAGTAAATTGTTCTTCAATTTGATGGTATTACATATTTTAAATATTGTTGTTTCCTGCAACTTTTGCATTTCAGATAAATTAAGATTTATCCTTTATCTTACATTTAAACATATATTCATTTTTTTAATGATCAACTATGGATGGGGTACTTGTTATAAGTTATTTCTTAGTGATAATATTAGTAGATATAAAGTCAAAGTTTGGGTAATAACAGAATAAGCCTTGAACTTGCTTGGTTATCATATTTGTCACTCAGTTGTAGAAAATACGCAAGGTACATGTACTTCTCATTGAGTACTGTATTAGTAAACACCTCATATTTGAATTTCTTTATGACTGTTGATAGTAAAAAAAGTTTTCAGTTGTTGGTATATTTTAATTGTTTGCTCATAGAACTATATATATTTGTAGATTTTGAAATAAAAAAGTTATTTTGATCATTTGAAATTTCTAATTGATACCTTTCCATTTAACAGTTTTAAAGAGATTTTTGCAACTGATTCAGAACCAATTTCTGATACTAAAGACATATTTGATATCGAACACAATTGCATTCTTCAGGGGAAAAAAGGTCTAAATGCCACCCACAATGACTTTTAATTCAAAATGTAAGACAAAAATATGATTTACAACCCTGTTCAAAAAGATGTCTGTGAATGTCATTTTAAGGGTCCTTGGAACAGCAGGAATGCCCCTCCTTCATCCCATTAAAGATGCTGTTTTGCAGTGTTTTTACATGAGTCTCCTCGGTCTTCTAAATTTATTTAATCTGTGAATGTTGAAAAAAAGGAGGTGAATTTATCTATATTTGGCCGTGGCTCTTTTGGAGATGGCAGCGTACTCTGATGCACTTTTAACTCTGTTCTCTTTACCCGTACTGTCTATATATGTTAAGTAACCAAAACTTATAGTAGAAAACGATGAAAGAAGGGTTAGTTCACTTATTGACAGTTAAAATGTGTCATTTTTGTAAGGAAGAAATGACTATTAAAATAATTACCTCGTAATAAAGCAAAACAACAAATAAATTAATAAATGATGTCTGTTTTTATTATGAACTGCTGAATAAAGTAAGTGAAAAAATATTAAACATGAAAAAGTGAAATATCGCTTTATTCAAAGTCCAAAATTGGGTGAAAAATAAAACTGTGTTCGCATCAGTTTTAATGAAAATATTTTAAGGTCTAATATTGGAAGTCGGACCTTAACCCCCTCCCTTTACCAAATGTTTTATCTGTGTTAGGTAGATTTAAGTCGATCATCTGTTAGCTTCATAATGCTTTTCCTAAAATTGATAATTATGTGGTTCAAATTCAATGACAAAATAATTGCATTCTTATAGAATATATTTAAAACAATTTTAAAATGCAAATGTATACCTCAAATGGCAAATCAGAAGTGTGCTGAGGATACAAAGATGACATGCCCCAGTCTTAAAAAACAAAATAAAGTCTTTTGGCTACAATATGCTTATGATTTAGCAGACTCTGCTCTAGGACCCCGTATATGAAATAAAAGTAACAGCTCTATTGGAACATAAAATTATTTACTTGGAATGAAGATATTAAAAGGAATTAATTTTGCAGTTCTACACGCAGGTAAAGTTATGTGTGCAGGCATTGCATCAATATTTTATATCTCTTTTTGTGGGTTTTTTTCTATAACAGACAGGTGAGTCATTGTTTTAAGGCAGAAAAATGTTTACATCTCCTCCATCCATAACACTAGCTTTCAGTTATGATTTATATTTTGACACCCATTTTTTTAGCATCTTCCTTTATTCATCTATTAATTGATTTTTCATTTTCATGAGTGAGGGAAAGAGGGTACCTTTGATTAATCAAATAAAAGGAAAACAACGTAAACCATGATAACCAATTTTTCTTTCACGTTGAAAACCAAAGGCATTATTCTGACATAATAGGTATATCAAGGAGCAGGGGAAAATAATTTTTGATCAAGGGACTACATCCAAAAGAAGAAAATATATGTGTCTTTCAAAGAAAGCATACACCATACCTGATGTTGCCAATTACACACATTCAGCGCATTTTTGACTGTTGACTCCATTTGTTTTCAGGTGCCATTCTACTATTTATAACATCATAAACAATAGGAGATAGACACATTCTGAAAGCTCCAGGTATTATGATGGCAAGCCCTACATTAAATTACTTCTTCTTATTTTTCACATGGCATATTCAGTACATTGACATTGCTGGCAGTCCAAGTCAAGCTCTTGTGCTTTGGTTTGCATTGAGATGCATGGTTGATGCTTAATCACAGACCATAACTCCAGGCTGTTTTCTGGTGGCCTGTTAGGGCTGCTCCGAGAGCGCCTGTACAAACACAGGTCAGATCCTTGTTGCAGACCTAGAACCTGGCTACATTTCCTTTTTCATGTTGTTTTTGTGCTATTTACTTCCCTTTTGATGCTATTTAAGCAGTGTGCTCGGTTGTATGCTAAAGGTTTTGAATTCTTTAAAAACATGAACAAACATGTTCATTTTATTTTTGTTACCAGTGTGTATTCAAGATACTAGTATACTTCCATCTCTTTTTCACTACTCAAGTTCAATATTTTGTAATAATTCGCCCTTATTCAGTTGACTAATTTGATGACTATCTGCTATGCTAACTTGAAATTTCAAATTTGACTGATGTCACAATTAAGAAAATATTACAATAACCATTATCACCAAGTAATTAGTAATAAAAAATGTACAATATTCCCATTCAGTAAGTGACAAGAACAATGACCAAATGCTGTAAGAAATTATGAATTTGCCATGAAATTGTCAACATAATGTAAAACATAATAAGTTGAAATTATTGGAATAAGATTTTAATTCCTCGAAATTTTAAAAGTATAAAAACAAAAATCCCCAATTAAGTGTGATTTTGGGTCTTTTAGTGTAGATGAATGAAATAATGACTTGCAAAAGGAAGACTGAGTAAAAAAACAATCAAACCGTTTAGTTTCTTTCATTTATTTTTACCTTCATAATAATAAATTTCAGTGAAATGCAGGAATGACATAACAGAAATAGATCCATGTGGCAATGTGAAATCCATGTGGCATACTTTAATTGGATAGCATTATACTAATAACATATGAGCTCCAGAGCTCCATTAACTAAAATAAGGAAAGATATGAAATCTGTTTTTCTAGCAGTGAAAACTCCAATTACCCAGTTTCATCAGAACTTTGACATGACAGTTTTTTTGGAGCTCAATGTTTGTAATAAATAAATCTAAATCCATGTTCTCTAAATAATAATAATAATAATAACAATAATAATACTTGTCACATCCTTAACTATTCATGATGCCACTTCTACCCTTCTCGAAAATATATTGCATTCTGGGAATCTGCAAATATCTTCGGGGTGCATAAAGGTCAATTAATGATTGTCTACTGAGTCACACACTTTTACATGCAAGCACTGATATGATGCATTGAGAAAATCACAAATAGGACTGATAAAAGAACTTAACTGCTGGATACATCAGTGCATCTCTTATCAACAGAAGTGAAGAACCGGTCTTCTTAATTATGTGCATTGTAAGGTGCTTCAGGTATATAATAAAAGCAATATCTTTCTTTAGATGAAAAGTTTGAAATGTTATGTTTTTGGAAGAGGTAGGGGTTGAAAGCATCTTCTTGGCAATTTACATTTTCAGGTCAGAATCAAACCATATATATATATGCTGGTAGACATATTCATTCCTTCCAGCACTAAAATATTACTTACGTAAGAAACAAAATTGTTTATGAAGTGCAATAGATGGTACATGTGCAAATATTAAAACTGTCTTGTTACTTTACCATCAGCTAACACAATATGTGTTGTATTGAACAATCAGTTTTTAGTATAAAATGGTGTTTTATTACTGTCATACACTTTAAACAGAGATCACTAGAAATTCCTACATCCATTAAGTTTGAATACTTTAACGGATTAAAAAAATTAATAAAATAAATAAAAATACAATTTTATGGCCATTTCTTGCAAATGTTTATCCTCTACCCATGGAAAATACAACTGTGGGTAGTTTATGTTTCTCTGTCAGACACAATATCATTTGACACTCTTAAATTAAAAAAAATTACATGATAATAGTCTTCATCAATGGTTAATATATCAAAGATAATGCAAAACATTCATATATGTTGCTAATGTCTCCTGAGATTTCACTGTTTTCTAAGCATATGCACTGGCCTATGCTTTCCCCTTACACACATAAAAAACTCTTCTGTTGACTGATGAAAAAACAAACAAAAACATTCTTCAGAAATTTGTTGCCATCCATACAACTCCTTATCTTTCAAACTATCACCCATTCACTAACATACTCATCCTGTATTATTTTGCTCTCTCTCTCTCTCTCTCTTTTTTTTTGAAATCTGAGGAATATTTACATTTACACTTGTCCTCTAAACTACTGCATGTACCACACATACAAATCCTGTATATCTTTTTCATGGCTAAGGCAGTCAAAAGAACCTTTGGTTTGGAAATGTTAGTAATGCACCAGATATAATAGATTAAACCTCTCCACAGCCACCAAAGGTATCTTTGCATTTTCAAGAAACTATATAATAGCAGTTTCCTGGAAATCAATCTTGCTCACTCAAAGTTTTCCTTTTTTTGTCTTTGGACTTTTTAGTCTTTTACAACCCTGCACATGCAAGCATTTGCCAGCTTGACTCATCAGTCATTGTTCCTTTGTTCATCCACTGTTGAAACATGTTAAAATAATGATGATGGCAGTTTTGCTGTTACTGGTTGTTTATTGTTAATGAAATGGCTGCCTAAGTGCAGCCTCGTGGTGACCCAAGTTAAAACGCGCACGCCGATGGTTCCTCTACTGGAGTCAAAGGATTGTACACAGTGCTGATCGAGCGAAAGTCGAATATGGCTGGATCATACAAGTTGAACTTTGGAGATCTATTTCCACTGATGGTCTGTAAAGAACAATGGAATATATCATTATCTCTCTAATCAAATAATAAAAATTATATGATTAATCATGATAGTCTTGTCATGCAGTTAGAACAAAGCCAACTGGAAAAATGTGTGCAACTAGCTGTGACACAACAATGGAATATGATGTATTTACCATTTCTAAAAGAGTGGAAAAAATTCTAAAATAGTTTTTCACACATTTATGCTTTTCTTTGAAAAAACAATAACAGTAAAAAAAAAAGTTCCATCTCTTCTTCTTATTGAAATTTCTGGAAACATTACCAAACAATCACCAGCCCTTTGAGAAACATGGATAAGGTGGTCACTGACCTTCTCTTTCAAATTCTAGGATAATTGATCATGAAAATGGAGCTGACCACTAATTCTTCAGGTGTTCTAGGTCAGAAGATGCTATTTAGATATAAACTCTAGGAATACAGGTCTCCCTAGACTTAAATAGTTTTATCTACACTAAGCCCCTTGATTTGCACCCTATCAGTAAACTTCTAGGCAACTTCACGCTGCTTGGTTATCTCTTTCCTGTAATTTCATCAGCTCGAAGCTATCTTGGCCGATTTTTTCCTTCAATACCTGAGAAGCGTGAGAACCAAGGTCCCATTAAGAGGAAGTTTGTATGGAGGATATTGGTTTCTTGATATACCTGAGTGAAGCTATCAGCTATTTTATTTGAAATATATTCACTGATGTTGTTATCAATAAGCAGGGCCAGGGAAAAAGAAAAGGACAACAATGCCCACCAGACCTTTTTAACTGCACTTGAAATATTTTCAAGCACCAGCCACTTGAGGCATTATAAACCAACCCCCATCACTTGCTCAATTTTTACCCCGGCAGCCCATTTTTACCTATTTCGATAACATGGAACAGCAAACATGGAGCAGAAAAGATGCATGACATGTGCCTGGGAAGCTTACGTCATACTCTGAATACAAATATATTTTTGACAAAAAGCTTGAAGAAGAGGCTACTTTAGAGCTATAATATGAGCTTCAAAATTGGATGGACTAATTTGCTTTAATAACTGATGATGTAACAATTGTGGAAGTTAATGGTCAACCCAATCATTGCTGTGGTACTCACATTGTGATTTGGGACTTGGAAAGATAAGGACTGAGTACATGTAATATGCAGAGCGTAATTATATGATAACAAAAAGGATGTTGTATTGATTTTCTTGAAGAATACTTAAATTCAGAGCAAGCAATTTCTTGACCTGAGAGATATACTTATATTTCAGATGAAAGACCAAATCCAAGTATTACAGTAAACAGTAGTAAAAAATATGTATTCTTGTGTCTTTTATTATCTAAAACATAACACACAAAAATAAGAAAACATAAAACCCCTAATATATATATATACTAAAATAATTTACTCATCTGAGACCCCTGCCATTATTATCCACTCAAACAAGCTTAATTTGTGATCTCATTCTTGAAAACCTAAATCAAACATAGCCGATATGCTCAAATTTACCGAACAAAGCCTGTTTATCACATTTGCCTCATTTCATATTCCCCAGTAATTGGCAGATCTACAATTTCAAAGACCCATTTCTCCAGTTTACAAATTGAAATCCCTTCTTAAATAGGCAGATGGAAGAGAGGAGTTGAATGTTCAAGAAGACAGCATCTGCTCGGTCACACGACCAACATGGTGTCCAACACATTACTCTTTTCTCTTTATGCCTACCACCTGTACATAATTTCCATCTCTAATTGTTGGGGTCCACAGGTAAAGTAATTACTTGCAACTTGATGTACATTTAATCAAATGTGTGTGGCTGTTTGGGGGCTGTTTGCAATTTTTCTTTTTCGAACTTGTCCATAATTAACTTTAACATTGCAACCTTAAAGCCATTAGCCAAGTTTCACTTCACAAACATCATCAATCAAACAAAATGTGTAACAGCTACTTTTTCACCTAAAAATCTACTGATTATTGTTTATTTTTACAGCATTAAATCAGACAAAATAATTCTTTCATGAAATTATTTATAAAAAAAGCTCTCTTACTTTTGATTTTATTAATTCATGAAAACTCAACTGGATTTTCATCTTAATTTTTATACTGCACTTTAACAAGTCTACTTACTAAGCAAATGAGTCTAAAAACCAATATTCTTATCATGCATCAGGTTAAATGGATTTTGAATTCAGATAATTAATCAGTCCATGATTGGCAATGTAAATGCTAATTGAAAGAGTTAGAAAGTACAAATATGTGACCAGAATTTGGAATCCCAGTAATCTGTAAGCAGTTTGCTCATAATCCCCCATGTACATTTACATTTTCATTTAATGGAGAAAATGTGTTGAATAAAAAAAATTGCTAAAAAATGTACAAATGTAAAAAAAGCATCCCTATATCTCTAAGCATTCATGTGTGTGTGTTCTATATTTAAAACAGATGTCTGAAAATAACAGAACATCCCTGAAATGCTGGCATGGCACATGTAAGGAAAAGATTAATGCTGCTCTGTGCTCCCTTAACCCCTAGATTTTACATTTAAGTGATTTTGTGAGACCATATGTCTAAATTACAGAAATTTGAACAATTACACTGACCAGCAGCAGAATATTCTTTATCAAATTCCGATCCATTAATGATATCTGCAAAACCTGTCCACTGAAACCTCCATTAACTCCAGATAAGGACTGGGTTATTACAAGGAGACAAATATACGGATGTGGAGCTGTTCCATATAATACTGACCATTTGAAGTAGCAGGAAGCGAATTAAAAATGAATAAATTCCATTTGCAGATGATGATCAGTAGTTATTTTCATAAAAGAATGACCACCATGTGACTGGCTATTTTGAAACTAATTGAGCAGTGACCAACAGGTGTCAAGACAGGAAGGAAACTCAGAAATTACGCAACTCAGCAGATGACACTTGGTCTCCCATCAAACAGCCAATCACTGCTGTGCACACTTATGAACACTGACATATATAATACCCACTGCTAGCACTCTGCAGCAGAAAAGACAACTGACATTTGCACCATCTTTTCTTCCAGAATTATAATAATCTTTATTGAGATATGGTAACCCAGAGGGTTGAAGTTATATATATATATTATATTTAACTCAGAATTCAAAGGAAGCCTGGTCATTTTGGCCTTGTTGCATACTATAAGCTGTCACTCTACACCTCCCTGGGGAGAATATTTGGTGAATGCAACTAAAACAGAAGAAGAGACAGTTTGTGTATGACGTAAGTTTGTGGGTGATAGTTCAGTGATAGGTAACAGAGGTGCTGGAGCACTTCTGAATGCCTCAGTTCCACTTTAAAACATCTTATGAATCACAATAACACACATTTCTATTCAGTTTCTCTGAGCTGAAAAAATAGTTATGCCCCCATTCAACTGTTACCACATAGTCAGAAGAATGCTTTGTCAGAGCAGAATCATCTCCTACCAGACCAAGGCAAAGAAACCATCAGCTGCTACAAAATTCTTGCTACTGAGAAGACTATATTCTTTCCTTTTCCTTTTTTCGTTTCTGAAAGTTTAATTTCCATTCCCCCACATTTTACTTGAAACAAACAACTGGGCTATGGTTGGCAAATGGCAGGTGGTTTGTGCATCCTAGTGAGTTGGGAATGTGGCTGCTATTTTCACTAAACTGTTCCTAGCAAGCTTACTTTAACAGGACTACACAACAAGTCAGCATTTTATGGCAGACCGTCTTCCTGTGTGCCAATATTTAATTTTTTTTCTATATATTTTCAGAACACAAAAGAACATCAAACTTCAGTGTCACATGCCCCAAAACACCCACCATGTTGAGTAATAATCAGTGAAATATTTTGGTGACGACATATAATTTTATTAGTAACAAGTAAAATCCATAGGAAACCAGCACCCGTGAGTTTACAATCTCCTCTTCTAATGCATAACACTTAATTTTTGGTTCAATTTTATGCAACATTCCTCCCTGGGTATCAATTTAAATGTTTTTGACACTAAAAACGCCTTGGTGTTGCTTGCATCTAACTGAAAAAGGGGGCCTTTTGTATTTCAGATTATATCAGAATATGTAAATGGATTTTGCAGCTAAGTAAGACATCTCTTCCAGCAGACTGGTATGTTTTGTAAATAAAATAATGGTTTCAAGTCACCTTATCCTATACCATAGAATCATGATTGTATGGCTTTTTGAAGATTTAGATTAAATGCTGACAATGAAAAGAAGGAGCATTTTTTAAATTTCAAATGGATCTGATTACACAATGAAAAAAATCATTACCAAAAAAAAAAAAAAAAAAAAAAAAAAAATCAATCAATATTTCTCCTGGTAACTTTTTTTTTAAATTTCATGTTATTGTCTGTAAACCAAATAAAGCTGCATAACAATGTAAGCAAAACACCAATTACTACAGAACAAAGTATCTCTAGGCAAGTAGAGTGCCATGCTTCATTGCTCTGAAAAAAATGCACAGTGTGAAGATTCTTTCAAAACTGTACAGAAAATTGGACATTAATAGAATACAGTCCATTGCAGTTCTGTGTGTTGCAGTATCTGTAGTGGCTTATTGATCTGATCCATTATCCATTATGTTGTTTGTTTTTCTACCTGCTACAATTGTTACACAAAGCTTCTATGTCTGCTGAAGTCACTTGTGCCAGCTGCCACAATACAATGCACTATCCAAACAGCGGGATAGATGGGATACTGGTGGCAATTATTTTTGTAAAAGAGAAAAACACCCAGTGGATTGCATCACTCCACAGATTATTTCTGCTGTAGTTGCCTTCAGACTTTGCACAGTCAGCACAATGTGAAAGAGCATGGCAGGTGTATAAACCCTTGCATGTGAAAAAAAGACCAATGGAGTCAGAAAATGGCAATTTTCTCAATAACCCATGCATTACTTTAGGAGCAAACCATTTGGTGAACAGCTCCACCCTGATCTAACATTGTTGCCATTAATATCTTTGTGTGTTCCACTGATATTTGAAATCTACCTC